CACCCGTTCTGGTCCCCGGGCCTGAGACCTGACGCAGCTCCCCGAGGCCACAGGCACACGCGGGCAGCAGGCACACACTCACACGCGCACGCTCTGCTGAATGACGCGGATCCAGGTGCTCCGGTCATCCCGGGAGGCTGTGTGCACCTCGTACATCTCGGGCGGGGCCGCGCTGATCAGGAACATCCCTTTCTCCTGGTTGGCGATGTCCCGGACAATGAGATTCTGCAGGGATATCACGGAGGGCTTGTCCTGCCAGTCAGGAGAAAGGAAGGGTTAGGCCTGGGAATCCTCACCCTTGGGTACTCGGGTCTTCGATCCTTCTGGAATGCCTAAAGGATTGAAGTCACCCGGTAATAGGAGTTAAGAGTCCAAGCTTTGGTGCCAGTAACAAAAGACGTCAGGGATCAGCGGATGGTGGAATGGTGACATCGCTGGACTCCCACATAGTCGACCACAGCTCAAGTCCTGGACCTGGCCGCTTAAAACTCATGCTGGGCTCGTGTGCGTGTGTGCCCCAAATCTCAAGAGAATGGAGTAGAAGGGACTGCGGTATGGCAATCCCTCCTGGGGGAGGGGGGAGTGATTTCTTGCTGTCTCTCCAGTGAGTGCACATGCCCTATAGCAAAAATCTCTCTCTTAAAAAAAGACTTCAAAATATGTGAGACCCTTGAAAAATGACTCAACTAACATTTTTTATTTGTTATTATTATTTTTTAAATTTTGCTATAGGGTCTGTGCACTCACCAAAGAGAGACAGATAAGAGATAGAGGGAAAATGAGACGGAAGGCAAGCTGCCAGGTCTGGGACTTGAACCATGGTCTAACCATATGGGAGTCCTGTACCTTGACTGCCATACCACCTGCTAGTCCCATACTCAACTAGCTTTTCATTCATCGCCTGTGAAGTGAGGATGACAAGAGCAGACCTTCCTCACAGGTATAAAGGTGCCTGTGCTCACTAACTACCAGTTTGCTGGGGTTATTTTTTTGTAGTTCTTGCTATAGGGCGTGTGTGCTTACCAGAGAGACGGAGATACGGAAAGTAAGAAATCACACACTGGAGGGGACTGGCCACCCACAATCCCTTCTCCATTCTCCCTTTAAGATTTTGGGCACACACACACGTGCCTGGCATGATTTTCAAGCTGCCAGGTCACAGACTCGAACCATAGAACTGACTATGTGGGATCCAGCCATCTTAACCTTCACATCACCTGCTGACCCCACCAATTAGCGATTCTTGCTTTTTTTTTTATTATACACGAGGTCTTCAAGAAAGTTAATAGGGAACCAGCAGTTAGCATAATGGCTATGTCGCTGGACTCCCACGTAGTCAACCGCGGTTTGCATCCCGGACCCAGTGGCTTAAATCTCACGCCGGGCACGTGTGCGTGCGTGCCCAAGATCCCAAGAGGAGAATGGAGGAGAAGGGATTGCGGCGTGACCATCCCCTCTGGGGGGTGATTTCTCGCTTTCTGTCTCTATGTCTCTGTCTGTTTGGCAAGTGCACGTGCCCTATAGCACCTCTCCAAAAAAAAAAAAAAAAAAAGAAAGTTAATAAAAGATGTGTATTATAGAAAACCTACACATGAAATTTTTTCATAAAAATAAACTCATACTTTTATTTCATTTTCTCCACAAAAAAATTTTTTTAAGGTTTTTGCCATAGGGCATATGCACTTGCCAGAAAGAAGCAGAGAGAGGGAAAGTGGAAAATCACCCACCAGGGGGATGGCCATGCCACAATCCCCTTTCCTCCATTATTCTCCTGGGATTTGGGGCATGCACACACATATGCCCAGCATGACTTTCAAGCCACCAGCTCTGGGACTCGAACTGTGGTTGGTCATGTGGGAATCCAGCACCATGCTACCTACTGACCCCTCTTCACAAAGTTTTATTTTTTTTAAGTTATTTTATCTAACTTTATTTATTTATTTTAATTAGACCAGAGAGGGAGAGAGAAAGAGAGGGAGAGAGAGAAAGCGAGAAAGTAAGCCGCCAGGTCCGAGACTCGAAAAGCAGTACATCATGTGGGAGTCCAGTGCCCTTAACCTCCGCTCCACCTGCCCCACAAACTTTTTGTTTTTGTTCAGAGGACACATGTATGGGCCAGAGAGAGCAAGAGAAAGCACCCCACAGAGGGCAAGTGGTCAAACTAGGATTCTTTTTACTCCATTTCTCCGTGTCATCAGGATGTGGGGCGTAACACCAGCGTGCTTTTCGAGCCGCTGGGGGCAGGATTCAAACTCTGATTAGCTACGTGGGAGCTGGCTCCTGGTGTACTGCAGGGCCAGCCCTCTACACACTTTTGAAGTCCCCTCATATTATAGTGGTAGTGACAACACTAGCTGGTTTTTTTCCTTTAAATTATGTATTTTACTTTATTTGTTATTATTATTTTATTTGACCAGAGAGAGACAGAGAGAGAAGGAAAGGGGAAGCGAGAAAGCAAGCCGCCAGGTCCGAGACTCGAACCATGGTAGGCCACGTGGGAGACCAGCACCTCAACCACCAGGCCAACTGTCGTCCCCAACAATAGCTGTTGACCCTGGAGGACTCAGAGCTCTTCTGGTCTTGGGAGGAAAGCAAGGAACACCTGAAATAATTCTGAGAAAGAGCAAAGGCCTTACCAGGGCAGGAAAGATGTACTTCTGGTCCTTCTCCTGGAGAAACACCAGCACGTCTGTCATCAGTAGCATCAGCACATCTGGCAGGGCAAAGGGGGCGCAGACTCAGCTCTGAGGGTCTGAACAGCCGTCTCCCTCCTTCCCCAGGACAAGGCCTACCCCGTCAGGCCAGCGCTCCCCACCCCCCTCTTCCTGCCCACTCTTCCCTGTGTGCTTCCTCCATCTTCCAGCTCAGAATCAGAGGGGTGGGGAGGGTGCGTGTGGTGCTGTCAGAGACAGCCAGCCTCTTGAGCTCACAGGGACCACAAGGGGTCACAAAATGCCTTTGGAGGAACCCCTCCTGACCCAACTGACTCAAATGGATTTGTGGCTGTTCATTTTGTTTTTAGTTTTTTGCTAAAGAGTGTAGGCACTCACCAGAGAAAGAGACAGAGAGAGAGAGATAAAGAGAGAAAGAGAAAATGAGAACTCACCCCCGCCGGGGGAATGGCCACGCTGTAACCCCTTTTTGGGCACGTGCACACAGGTGTCCAGCATATTTTCAAGCTGCCGGGTCTGGGACTTGAACTACACAGCCAGCCATGTGGGAGCCAGCCCCTTTAACCACATGGCTCCTGGCTGGCTCTGTTTCTTTGTTGTTGTTGTTGTTTATTTATTTTTTAAATTCATGTAGAGCCTTCCCCCCCACCCCAATTCACAAGGTGGCAGGAGGAGAAACAGAATCATCCTCCACAGAGAAGTACCCTCCACAGGGCTTGGTCACGCTCTGGTCCCCTTCCTCTGTGCCTCTTGCCTACCAGGGTCCTGGGCATACATGCACCTGGCAATGTTTTAGGGCAGGCCAGGATTCAAACCATGTTGGGCATGTGGCTTTCAGTGGTGTAGTCTGGTACGCTACCAACTTCCCTGTAGAGGTGGAGCCCGATTTGGGTTCTTAAGCTAGGGTCTACGAAGCCCTCAGAATATCCGCAGCTGGGCTTTGCAGGCTCTGTAAGTGCTCTGACGTTTCGTGAATAGTTTTACATAGCAATGTAACACACACATGAATTTTTCAGGGTAAAAAGGTCCAAGATTGGGACCAGATGGTGGAGCAGAGATAAAATGCGATGCTCTGCAAGGCTACCCCACATGGGGAGGTTCTGGGCTCCCTCCGGCAAACATCCTTGAGCACCCAGCACACGCGCACCTGGGTTCTGGGGCTGGCTGAGGCTGAGACAGATCGTGGCATCCAAGGCCCTGTCCTCTCATTGTCTCTCACTGTCTTTGTCATTCATCGAAAAAGGAAGAAAATAACTTTAATAATTTTTTTAAAAAGGGTAACGAGGCCAGTGGGTGGTGTAGTGGTTAAGGTACTGGACTCCTACATGGGGCCAATCGTGGTTCAAACACTGGACCCAGAGGCTTTAAACTCACACCGGGTGTGTGTGTATGCGTGCCCAAAATACCAGAAGGGAAGAAAAGGGATTGCGGCATGGCCATATCCCCGGGGGGTGATTTCTCATTTTCTCTCTTTGTCTCTCCAGAGAGCACACACATGCTATAGAAAAAACCTCTAAAAGTAGCAAAAACCTCTAAACCTCTAAATAAATTTTAAGAATTATTTTTATTTAATTTCTATCTGTCTATTTATGTTTTAATCTGAACAGAGAGGGACAGAGTGAGAGAGAGAGAGAGAGGGAAAGTGAGAAAGCAAGCTGCCAGGTCCGGGACTCAAACCACGATCGGCCATGTGGGAGTCCAGCACCTTAACCACTGTGCCACCTGCCAACCCCAATAAATAAATAAATTTTAAAAGGGTACAAAGGCTGGCCTATGGGACATGGGCTTAACACCCAAGTCACTCAAGACCTCTTTGGATATCTGACTTAAATTCCGCCGTCCTGCATATTTCCACTTATTTTGTGCTCAGCCATGAGGGAGAAGGTTGGTTTCTTGCCACAGGCAAGCACTGAAAGTCCATCCCTCATCGAATCCCACCTCCTCTGACCCCCAGCAGGTCCTGGCTTTGCGTTCCTCCCCCCCTTCCCTCTAGGCTCGCAGACCCTAAGGGGTCTGCTCTCTAAGACTGAGGGAGAAAACCAAGGCCGGTCCATAAAACCTGGAGGTCACAGTCAAGGGAACACACTCACCCTCTGCCCTTGGGAATCTTACTGAACTGTGGGCACACAGAAGGGGCGGGCTTTTGCTAAACGCTTCAGAAATAAAGCTCTCCAGTCTTCTATTTTTAACCCCCCCATGGTTTATATTCTTAGCTGCTGCGTGGGAGGGATGGGAAGGAGAGAACGAGCTGCAGGAAAAAGGCTGGTGGAGACAGAATACCCAGGCCCAGGCAAGGGGATTTCATGACACGGGTACAGAGGCCCAGGGAGGCGAGTCTCAGGTGTCACAGTTTATTTCTGTCCCCTCTTCCTCACCCCCAAGGCCGAGGCCTGATATTCTCCTGCCTTGATTTAGGTAAAGAAGACTTTGCCAATGCAGACAAATTCTGGAAAAAGAGCCTGGGAAAATGTCTCCTGCCTCAACTCGGTCCCTGTGTTCCATCCATTCTCCGCTCCGAGTCCTTGGCTGGACTCAGTCCCCTCCTTCATTCCTAAAACTGCGGCTCATTTCCCGGCCCTCATAGCTGGGATTCCAGCTGGGGGAGAGAGTTGTTTTCCTCACTTAAACCTGCAGCTCTCTGGGCGTGCAAGGACCAGGGAATGAATGCATACTGATCGGGAAGTCCCTGTGTGGCCCGCGGAGCTAAATGCAGAATTCAGGATTCGGCCGCAGCGGTGACGCGCCTTTCCCCCCCCCCCGCCATGAGTCTCACATTTGATGCGGGGCCGCGCAGGGGGGTCCTGAGGGTGGGCGCGTCTCCCTGTTAGCTGACGCGACACTTCCGCCTGGCCTGCCGCACCCACTGACCTTTGAAGCGCCCCGCGGCGGTCTTCCAGAGGAGGCAGCCGTCATGGATGAGCTTGCGCCGGAGAAGCTCTTCTCGGCCAAAGGGGCCCTTGCTGGGCACCGGGGTCTGGGCGCGAGGGTCCATGCGGTTGTAGATCTCCTGTAGGCGGGCACCCTTCTCCAGCTCGTGCACATCCTGGTCCACGTTGGACAGCAACTCTTTCACCAGGTCCACTGCCGTGTTCAGGTCCTGGCGCTCCTCCTCCATCCCTGGCACCAGAAGACGGCCCGGGGAGGGCTCAGCCAGGCGCAGTCCAGCCAGGTGCCGCCGCGTCTTGCTTCCGCCTGAGACCCTGTTCCTTCCCTGGCTTGTCCCAGCCTTCGCTCGCCCCAGGGCGCCTCTCCTGCCCACTCCTCCTGCCCCCCGGCCCCCCACTCACCGTGGGAATGCTGCAGGATGCGCTTAATGAGCACCGGGTACTTGGTGATGCGCTGCGTCACCAGCAAGATGCACTCCTGGACCCCGTGCCGCTTCAGCACCGCAGAGCGGGTCACCTTCTGCCAGGGAAGAGAGAGACTTGCGCCTAAGTGTGGGTGCTGGCCCTGCCGGCCCATTCACCTCACGCTGGCTGTGGTGACGAAGGACATCAGGAGACTGGGGATGACATCGCAGGGCTTTTTTGTTTGTTCATTTTTTAGTTTTTGCTACAGGGCACACGTGGTCACCTGAGAGAAACAGAGATGAGAGTGGGGCAGGGAGGGGAGTGAGAAATCACCCTCCAACAGGGGGATGGCCGGGCCACAGTCCCTTCTCCAATCTCCTCTCAGGGTCTTCTGGGCGTGCATGCCTGAAACATGCACCCAGTGTGTTTTTCAAGCTGCCACGGCCAGGACTCAAACTGCTGTCAGCCATGTACGATCCAGTGCCTTTACCGCCACGCCGCTGCCTGGCCCGCTGTGAGATTTTTGTGAGGGCAACCAAAGTACGAAGCTACTTGGAAAACTGCAGGTCGAACGTCCCTTATCTGAAATGGTTGGGACCAGAAGTGCTTAGGATTTTAGATATTTTTGGATTTGGGAATATTTACATGTTCATGCGGTATCTTGGGGATGGGACACAGGTCTAACCACACAACTCATTGAAGTTTCACAGACACCCGAGACGCACAGCCTGAAGGTTGGTTGTTTTACAGTATTTCCGCAGCACCTTGACCGTGAGCCATCACATGAGGTCGGACGTGGAGATTTCCATTTACCGTGCCACGTCAATGCTCAGAGAGTTTCAGATTTTGGAGCACTCCAGCTTGGACCTGTACTAAGACATGCTCTACCACTCTGAGGGGTTACCCTGACAAGACCCCCGACGGGTGGATGTGTGATAGTGAGTGAATGCCTGGTCTCCGTGTGGCTGCGGCTCCCACACTCGTGGGGTGGGGGCCGGGTTTGGGCCATGAGAGAAGGCAGCGAGTGTGGGTCTGTCTGGGGAGGTCTGCTCACCCGGATGAACTGCTGGAAGCGTTTGTCTCGGGCGTACAGCTCCTTGTAGAGCTTTAAGGCCTTGGTGTGGCGGCTACAGAACTCCGAGTAGGTCTTACGCATCTGCTCCGCGCTGGGACCCGAGAACTAGAAGTTGGGGAGCAAGGCTAGGTCAGTGTCTCTCCCAAAGCCACATCTTATCCCCGGTCACCCCGGTCACCCCGGCTCCCCTCGGCTCTTCGCCACCCACTAGGGTCTGGAGACAAGAAATGCCCACTTTGGCCACACCGCCTCCCAGGAACCGTACTCGGGGGCCTGCCTTTTCCCACCTGGCTGATGAGCAGGTCACCCAAGCGATGGATGACGAAGTTGCGGCTGCTGCCCGGACACAAGGCCTGGCGCCTGCGCTCCAACAGCTGGCTGAGGAAGCGCGTGTGGATGTCGCTGAGCTCGTCCA